CACTTGTAAAGCAAAATTAACTTTTTCCAAAAAAATATCAACGCTATAGAAACTGAAATATAAGAGATGTAAGCTAGAAAATAAAATCATATTGAATAAAATAGTCAAGAAATTGAAATTACTTTTTTAGATGCTTCTATTAATTAGAAATAATCTCAACTTAATGAAATGAATGAATTACTTGATAATATGAAAGTAAGATAAATACGATAAAATTCTATGACAGAATCACAATTAATTGAATAAAGAGGAGATTAATAGGAAAAAATTCAAATTTAACTTGATGAAATAGATTGAAATGTCTTTTTATAAGAAAGATTTAATTATTCATTCATATATTTTTTAATATTTTTTTGCAAAATCTTTCATTTTTGAATCTTATTTACGTAGCAATATTAATCTATAAAGAGCAGAACAAATTTTTTTATTATCTTATCGCAAATGATATTATTCAAATGTTGCAATTAAATCCTTATTTTACATACTAAACCATATAGATATATCTTTTATTTCAGCTAATTATTGTTTAATCCTCATTTGTAAGACATTACTAGATATTTATTTTTCTAAAAAACTTTATAATGTCTGAAATTCTAAAGTAAGTAGTTCAAAATATAAATCTTAACTTATGTTTTATAGTTTGTTAATATCAAAAATAAAATAAAATAATCCTAGTTTTATAATTATTTAAGTACCTTCAAAAAATGAAGCAATAAAAGAATCATAAAATATAGAATGGTAATTAACTGGTAGCTTCTAATTGAATATTAAAAAAAAATCTTTTATTTCATCCAATTATTGAAGCATAGACCATTCTGACTTTTACTAATAACTTTTTGCATCAGTCATTGATTTTAAATCTTAATGAAGAGGGGTAAATAAATTAGGAGATATAATTTCATTTATAATAATTTTTGAAATACTTTTGCAAATTACTTTACCTTTAGTATTGAAATCACTGGTAAGATGATCTAAAGCTTCAAGTTTTAATTAATCATTTAGATGCTAAAATTATTATTACAGAAAATTAAGATTACAAATTCTCATCATCATATCTATACAAGATGAATTTATTATTAGGCTAATTATTTTTAATCAAGAGGTATGCTTTATTTATTTTTAATAACTGCAGGAAACCAATAGGATATTAATTTTGTTTTTTGTTCAAGATTTTATTCCATCTATTCCAAATACATTAATATAGCAGTATAGAGTATATGTTCTATTTTGCTATTAATTGTTTTTTTGAAGAGATTTTCATTCTTAAACTTGACCACTTATTGTAAAGCTTCTAAAGATTTAAATAAAATAGAGCAAAAGTCTTCTATACTCTTAGTTTATGTTTACTACATCAATTCTTTAAACTACAAACTTTCATCAAGAAATTTTTCTTTAGTAATTAATGATTATAAAATTTTTAATGTATTTTGTTGAGATTATTGGAACCACATTTCTATTTATCGACCAATTATTTAGAGTGCTTTAGCATTTAAATTATTAGGTAAGAGTTGATCATCAATTAAAGCCAAAGTGAAACATATGGAAAAAGCACTTAATATAATCATAATAATACTTTCCATTTTTATCTTCTGGAATTAATCCTTTTTAAATACAGAGCTCAACCTATTAAAGTATTAAATATATTTCTGAAAATGCACCCATCATAAAATGAAAGAAAAACAAATTCTAATTATTTCGATTATCAGGTAATAAATGTTATATAACTTTCTAAAAATAATCAATATATTGTTCTTCTAATTCAAGACATTCTTTACACATTACAGTTAAAAGAACAGAAACTTAATTAAATGTTTTTTCTGATATTTGATTCTATTAAAATTGTTCTCTTTTAATAATCATACTATAATAATGATGACCTGTTTGTTCCATAATTTTGAACATTAATTCATTTTTATTTTAGCATTCTGTAAACTCAAGTGAAATACTTACAACTATGTAAAATAAATTCATGAAGGCAATTAGGAAAGACTAATCACTTGGTAATTAAGACCAAAAACTAGTAGTAAGTCCTAATAAATCTTTATATAATCTATCTGAATTCTTCTATTTTAGTGCAAATTACAATTATGATTATTTAATAATTTTTTCCTTATTAATAATATCCTATAATTATTCAGTTAATTATTAAATAAAATATGTAGAAATAAAAATTTTTAATCAAAGAATTATGGTGATTTACATGAGTTATAAATAAAAAAGTTATTATTATTTTTAAAATCTAAATGAAAAAAAAGTAACTTGAAAGAGATGAACAGGGCAATTTAATTATGAATGAGTAAAATATTATAGAGATTTGCGAAAAAGAAGGATTATATGAGTATCCAGAACTGAATTCAAAATTATATTTACATTTTAAGGGTAATTAAGAGTAATTAATTTTAAGCATTCAGAAAAATTGGAGGTTTGGACAATTTCATAAATGTTAAGACTTTGTGGTTAGAAAATAACTTTATTACAAGAATAGAGGGATTAGAAAATCTTTAATAACTAACACATTTATTTTTACAAAATAATCTAATTTAAAAAATTGAAGGATTACGAGAAAATTTAGAATTGATTACATTGAATCTATCTAATAATTGTATTAAAGTGGTTGAAAATTTATAGAGGCTCTAAAAGCTTTCTAGTTTGGATTTATCAACAAACAAATTGTAATCAGTTTCTGATATATGGGAATTAGAATTAAATTAATCAGTATCTAATTTAGACTTATCCAATAATATGCTTGAATTTGAAGGAGAACACGAAGATGATCCACTATTGTTAATATTTAAAAAAATGCCAAAATTAAAATGTCTTTATTTATAGAGAAATAATTACATACGATCAATTTAAAATTATAGAAAAGTATTTATAGCTAGCTTATTTTAGTATTATCTTGCCAATTTACCAGAATTAACATATTTAGATACTTAACCTGTATTTCCTAATGAACGTAGAATAGTGGATGCATGGGGAAAATTGGGTAAAGAAGGAGAATAAATAGAAAGATAAAGTATATAATAATATGAATTATATAGAAATAAAAGATGAAGAAGATACTAAGAAGTAAGAATATCGCGAAGAGATAAAAAAATAATTACCTGTTTATTTGTAAAGCAAAATTAACTTTTTCCAAAAAAATATCAACGCTATAGAAACTGAAATATAAGAGATGTAAGCTAGAAAATAAAATCATATTGAATAAAATAGTCAAGAAATTGAAATTACTTTTTTAGATGCTTCTATTAATTAGAAATAATCTCAACTTAATGAAATGAATGAATTACTTGATAATATGAAAGTAAGATAAATACGATAAAATTCTATGACAGAATCACAATTAATTGAATAAAGAGGAGATTAATAGGAAAAAATTCAAATTTAACTTGATGAAATAGATTGAAATGTCTTTTTATAAGAAAGATTTAATTATTCATTCATATATTTTTTAATATTTTTTTGCAAAATCTTTCATTTTTGAATCTTATTTACGTAGCAATATTAATCTATAAAGAGCAGAACAAATTTTTTTATTATCTTATCGCAAATGATATTATTCAAATGTTGCAATTAAATCCTTATTTTACATACTAAACCATATAGATATATCTTTTATTTCAGCTAATTATTGTTTAATCCTCATTTGTAAGACATTACTAGATATTTATTTTTCTAAAAAACTTTATAATGTCTGAAATTCTAAAGTAAGTAGTTCAAAATATAAATCTTAACTTATGTTTTATAGTTTGTTAATATCAAAAATTGAATAAAATAATCCTAGTTTTATAATTATTTAAGTACCTTCAAAAAATGAAGCAATAAAAGAATCATAAAATACAGAATGGTAATTAACTGGGAGCTTCTAATTGAATATTAAAAAAAAATCTTTTATTTCATCCAATTATTGAAGCATAGACCATTCTGACTTTTACTAATAACTTTTTGCATCAGTCATTGATTTTAAATCTTAATGAAGAGGGGTAAATAAATTAGGAGATATAATTTCATTTATAAGAATTTTTGAAATACTTTTGCAAATTACTTTACCTTTAGTATTGAAATCACTGGTAAGATGATCTAAAGCTTCAAGTTTTAATTAATCCTTTAGATGCTAAAATTGTTATTACAGGAAATTAAGATTACAAATTCTCATCATCATTTCTATAACAAGATGAATTTATTATTAGGCTAATTATTTCTAATCAAGAGGTATGCTTTATTTACTTTTAATAACTGCAGGAAACCAATATGATATTAAATTTGTTTTTTGTTCAAGATTTTATTCCATCTATTCCAAATACATTAATATAGCAGTATAGAGTATATGTTCCATTTTGCTATTAATTGTTTTTTTGAAGAGATTATCATTCTTAAACTTAACCACTTATTGTAAAGCTTCTAAAGATTTAAATAAAATAGAGCAAAAGTCTTCTATACTCTTAGTTTATGTTTGCTGCATCAATTCTTTAAACTACAAACTTTCATCTAGAAATTTTTCTTTAGTAATTAATGATTATAAAATTTTTAATGTATTTTATTGAGATTATTGGAACCACATTTCTATTGATCGACCAATAATTTAGAGTGCTTTAGCATTTAAATTATTAGGTAAGAGTTGATCATCAATTAAAGCTAAAGTGAAACATATGGAAAAAGCACTTAATATAATCATAATAATACTTTCCATTTTTATCTTCTGGAATTAATCCTTTTTAAATACAGAGCTNAATTCTATTGAAGGAAAAGATCGAGTTTGATATAAATACTCTACATAGGTAAAGGAGAGGGTTAATCTGTTATTTAAGTAAGAGGACTATTACTTTAGATCCTGCAGTTTCCTTCTTTGTGAATACTCTAAGCTTTGGATGGGAGAATTGAATCATATGTAAAGAGATTATTTTGTTATCATCACATTCATAAATCTCCCGCTAACTTACTCTAATTTTCAAAGTTAGACTATAAGAAATTGTGAATAAGTTAACAACTCCTATAAATTTTCAAATCATCTTTTAGTCTTATAAAAAATGAAAAGAATGAGTATTAGTCTTATAACACTTTTTAAATATAAACTGATTAATATATCTCATGCTTTTAGCAGCATCTATCACACTTTAAAGTTAAACATAGGCTGTGAGGTGAACTAAGAATTTCAGAAATCTGATGATCTCCATTTAATCTCTTATACTTTTTATTAGATCCCGTCTCTGTTCCAAACATCCTTCATCAGAATAGTCTTCTTTATTAAAGTCATGATCTTAAATTTTTATAATGAAATAAAGTATTAGTTTGATGTTATTTCTCATAACGTCCATCCTCGATTCTTTTTCTTCTTGTATTGAATTGTCACTTTGTGAAATTTACTCTTCTAGATGTCTTAGATTTTCATTTTCTGAAAGAAATTCCATCCAGCCTTAAGAATTCTGTTTTCCTAGCATCCATATTATCAAACTGTATATTCTTTCATCCACACCTTTAATTTAATCAAAAATCTAAGAGAGATCTTCATTCTTCTTATGGGAACCATTCATTTTCTTTTTTCCTTTTTAAATATTGAATTTCTATAACTCTAACTTTGATTTTTATACTACAAATCCACAAGTATTTTATTTTTTTGAGGATCAGAATTTGTAAAGATTTGGAGTTGCTCGTGAATAATTTTAAATATATATTTTTCTCTTTAGAATGATCCATTGATTGAAATAGATAAATGTAAATATAAAAAATGATATATCATTAAATTTAAAGAAAATGAAAAAATTAAGTTAAAAGATTTTAAACAGGGAATAAGCCAGATAAATATTTTACAAATTTAGGAGTAAATTGTGTTTATATAAAGTTACATAAAATTGAGTTTAATATAAAAAAAAAATCTTAAAAAATCTGTAAATTATTTTCTTAGTTATTAATGTTATTTCATATTATATTTAGGGATATGTACATTAACTTTGTCTCAAGAATTAAAAAAAAATATTAAATATTTGCAATCGAAATAGAATTATTATTTTAAATTCTTTCACCATTATATAATTTTGAAAGGCACAAATGCATTTTTTATTATCAACTTAAATGATTGTATTATATTTACAATAACATTAGAAATACTACATGAAGGAGTCTTAATATTTTCTGTTTAAAGCTTGTATTATATTCAATGATACATTTTAATTAGAGAGGGAAAAAGCGCAACTAGGATGGTCTGAATATAGTAATTGGCTATAGAGAGAACTGCAATTAAATTAATTTTTGTGATCAGATAGGAAGTAAATTATACATAATTATAATTGAATTACTAAGATTTATTAACGTTTAGAGAGAACTTAGATAGTGAAATACTTTAGAAATTTGAATAAACAAAGTAGGAAAGGAAGCTATTCTCTAGTAAGAATAATATTAGGATTGCAAAATGATTTATTGGAAGTTTAACAAATAGGCATATGTGAATAATTAGGATATAAAATATTCATTCAATATTATCAATATAATATTCGTAATTTTCTTGTTTAACTATAAGTATTTAAGAATAAACTTTTATTGAGCTTAAGAAAATGTATCTTCTAAAGGGGAATAAGTTGATTAAAGAATTAAGATGTTGTTGTTGATACTTTAATTGGATAATATTAAAATCGAAAGAATTTTGAATAATGAATAGATCTTGATTTTCTTTTGTTTTAAGTTCTTATTCTTTTTTAATAATTAATTTATTCATTCTTTTGTTAATCAAATTATAGGAATTGTTTTGGATTATTTCGAGAATCTCATAACTTTTTTGTACTTTCTTTTTATAGAATTATTTTTCAAAAAATTTTTATTCTCTATTTGGCAACTCTAACCTCCTCAAATAAAGACGTCTTGTAAGGATTCATCAGATTCTATTTATACTACATTTATAGAGTCTTATATCTAATCCTCTACTTAATCAAATCCTCCTGCTAAACTTCTATCACGCCAAATTATGTGTGAAAAACTTCATTCTTATATTTTTCAGTTTTCCTTTATAAAATGTCTCGCATATCATCCATCCATACTAATACCTATATTAAAATATTCAAAATTCGAATAAAATTTCATATTCTTTCTATTTTTCTCCTTCATAATTTAATTTAAGTAAACAGTATTTTTTCAATACACTTCTAAAGATATTGATATCTTTTAAGTTTATTAATTAATTAAGTTTAACGCCAAATAATTCCCATATCCATAACTTTATGAGATACCATCTTCGGTATTTGAATACATGTTTTAAGCAAGGATCTTCTTAAATACTCCCAGGCTACGTTTTAATGATTTGATTAATTATAGAGTACTGATGACACATACTGAAGGTGAGGTCTAATATAAGTATTCTCTAAGTGGCATCATTTTTTCAGGGGAGACAATTAATAATTTTAATAATTTAGCACTTTTTAACAGGCTTAAACTATTTAAATAATATTTGAAATGTCTCTCCTTTTTTATTTCCATAATAACTGAAGAATTGTCTTGATGCAGTTAGATATATTTTTTTTTAATTAACCAATAAGTTCCATTTTGAGAAGCATTCACTATAAAGTCTATAAAACACTTTTACAATCTTGTGATTTCCAATAAATGCTAGGTCTTTTGCATATGCAAATAATTTCACTTATGAATATTTTATTTTAAGTATTCTATTCAATTAATCTCTTCTATTCCTCTTTAATCCCTTATTATTAACTTATTAAAATAAATATCAAATAAAATGGGGAAGTATAAGGATCCTTAATGCACTTCATTTTAAAATATATCCTCTTTTTAAAATTAGATCATAAATATAAAAATTATCTTAGATCCATTCCAAAATATCCAAATCTAAAATATTTTTTGTTGTATTCATATAGAACAGTTTTATTCTATCACAACAATAATAAGCATTTGACAACTCAAAAAAGACGATCGATTTTGATTATCTTTATTTTCTTGTTTAGTGTTTTAATTCCTCAATAATTTAGCTAATATGATATTGACAAGCCATTTCATTCACAAATCCAAATTATCCGGAGATATTTTAAATTTACAGATCTATCTGAACTTTTATACATAGAATGATTCAATTAGTTTTATGAAATGACATTTTACCATTATAGGCCTAAACCTATTCAATCGTTGGTATCTATGGATGTACCTTATTTAATGTTACTAATCTCATGGCAAATAAATATTCAAATTTATTTATATTTTAAAAGTTTAAATCTAAATATCCTCCAAGTAGATATTTTGCTATTTATTTTAATTCTGTTAATATTTATTCTTCATTTTGTTTGACACTCAATGATTTATGATATTAAATCTCATTAAAATAGTCGTTGTGCCATAAAAGACATTTTTTAGATAAATATATAATCTATTTACTTCTCTTAAACCATTGTTATCCCTCATAATAATTAGGTTAATTTTTAGAGATAAATTTTAATTCCAATTTTACAATGAAGTCACGTGGAATGTGATTCAATTATAAAGTTGATTCAAAATAAAATAATAAAATAAAATATTTGGATTCTTCTTAAAAATCATTAAAAATATTCCAATATATTACATAGAATAGAAGAAACAGATATTTATTGTTTTTAATTATTCAATATTTATATTATGGTTTTTCATTATCTAACTCAATCGTTACTTTAAAAAACCTTTTGTTCCTTAAATACACTTTGCACTTTTCTATGTTTGATCGCAATAATTAACTAAATTGTCTTTTGTTTAAAAAAATTTTGCTCAATAAAAAATCATCCATGGCCATCGATCTCTTAGTTTATCATTCTTCAATTCTCGATTATATAATTGAGCTTAGATTTAATGGTGCGCAGAAGTAAAATATATAATTAGTAAATTTTAATAAATAATGGTTTAATAGGAAAAGCTTCATTTACGATTCGTAAATTTCTCATACTTAATTGGAATTCTTAAATAATTAAGCAAATAATTTTGACAAAAAAACTTTGAAAATGAATTAATAAAAATATTACATTATAGGGATAAAATAAACTTAAAATTTTAATCAATTAATATGTTTTTTATTTTTTTTTGACATTGACATACTTTATTATATTGTCTCAAACTCATCTTATATTAAACAAA